AAGCCATTCATTTATGTGTACATTAATATTTATTTCTCTAAGTTCCTGGCAGTTCTGCAATGAGCAAAACAGATAGGATCTATGCTCTGAGAAGCATATATTCTAAAAAACAGAAAATATGACATTTGCTTCTTTGAAATAACTAACTGGGATGGGGATTTAGCTTGGTAATATAGCACCTGATGAACAGGAACCAAAGCTCTGGGTTCCAGAGTTCTACTCCCAACAATACACACACAATCACAAAAACAGGACAATATATTATTGTAATATCTATCAGAAGCAGGGAAATTTATAATTGATGTACATAATATATCATGGGCATATGCTTTTCTAAAACTCCTTCTAAATAAGTTCTCATTAATCTTGTTGCCTGTTCCCCCCCCCAACCCAACCAACCCAAACTTATGTAACAGATTTTTTTTAAAACTGCTTTCTACTTTTCTGAGAAAAACAAACATATGATAGGAAAGCTAAAGGAAATCTGTTTCACAAAGCTCCCAGGTCCTCTAAGAGGATCCCTGTGCGTGCAGATTGTCTACAACTACAATTCTACACATAAGAGGTACACATATTTTTTTTTTCCAGCTTGCACTGCTTCCTAAATAAAGTTAACCTGTGAAATGATACTTCCGGAAAGTCTCATTTCTAGAAACTTTGCTGGGTTTGGATATAGAAAGGTAGCTTTAGAAACAAGGGGGAAAGTTAAATGGTTTTACATAACAAAATATTTTTAGACTAGGGAGCAGGGGTAGGAAGCAAGAAGAAGAGTGGGAGAAGCCAATCTAGTTACCACCTTTCCTTTTCTCAATAGTTTTCCTCCCCTTCCCCCAATTTTTCCATAGAGTTTACAACACCTCTCTGTACAAAGACTTTACATAAACTCTTTTTCAGAGTCCATTGTTTCCTAACTCCTAAATCCATTCAACAACTGCATCACAGACATCTCAACTATTCATGCAGCACTCCACTGGTTTGGTCCCAAATTGAACTTATTTTCCTTTCTCTGTCTCTAATGACAATTATTTTTAACTATTCCTGACAGCCTCCAACATTCCACTAAGTCACTAATATCATCACCATGAAAGGAACAACTAATATTTATTGAGCACTTGTGACACACCAAGTACTGTGCCAAAGGCATTACATGCGTAATTTCACCTGATCCTTAAACCCTACTAAACAAGTATTATGACTATTTCCTAAATATTAGGGATTCAACAATCTCGTGGTCATAGTCATTCTAAGGGTAAATGAAAGAATTAAAATTTAACCCATTCTGACTCCACAGCCAACTTAACTGGTATACACGCTGCATGTGCTATGCCCCAACATCCCTCTCATTAATCCTTTCTAGTCACTTACTAGTTTAGCTTCCCAATCATAACCTCCTAAATGCCTCATCATCTCTCTTCCCAATGCCTTCACACAGGACAGCACTAAGTCTTTACTATATATCAGGCATTATTCTAAATAATTTATACACTTTCTTCAAGTCTCCAAACCTTATGAGATGAAAAAACCTAAAGAGAAAAGAGGACAAAGACTGTTCAAAGCCAGATAACCTAAATAAGAGATCCTTAAGCACTTCCCCCTACCTGTGACAGCCATCAACTTTGTCTCCCTATCTCCCTTCTGGAACCCCACCATCTTCCAGACTGCTGGAGATACCTTTCTGGAATGTAGATGTTATCGTGACATTCTCCTGCTTAAAATTGGCAGCTCTGTGTCACTTGACTGGCTCAAGTCCAAATGTCTATTCAAAATACTTCATTTTTTTTCCTCTAGTCAGTTCAATAAATATCTGAACACCTACCGAAGGCAAGGCAGAGTGCCATGTGCTCTCATTTGGGTATCAGTAGTCCCTGACTATTTCAGCCCAGACCCTGAGTGCCAGACAAGCCAGATGTAGATCTGGCAGTACCCTAAAGACCTATGCATATAGAATGTACCTGGCAAAATTCCACATCAATCTGAAGAGTGCCTATGTGAGACATTCTCTAACAAAGCCCAGGCAGAAAAACAATCTTTCATGTTCCTACAGCACTTTGAACACAAACTACTTTTAAAGGTAATTAGTAGAATCAGCTTTCGTAAGGGACTCTGAGCAACTAGGGGCAAAAAGTGACCCTGGCACGCAGGAGGCACTTTATGAGTGGCTAAACAGTTAATGAAGCCATTATAAATTTGGTAAGAAGAACTAGATACAGAATAAGAATGTTAATACAGAAGCTGGTTGGCATGCAAGTAATGTCATTCTACTGTGGTTCTAGTGTGGCCTGCATTTTACTCCTGTGGGAAAACTCACATGTGGGACTTGGGGCAGGCTAAAAAGGCAAAAAATGTTATTCCTGGCGCACCAAAGCTTTGACAAGCCAAACAGGACACTAGATCCCCACTTCCTCACTTCCTTCTTTACCTGCCAAAATCCTTTCTCTAAATGTGTAGGGGAGAGGGGAATCAAATCTATCAAAGTAAAAAGAATTAAATTGATCTTCTCAGATCCAACTTCATCAGTGCTGTGTCACAGTACACACAAGAGAAAAATCAAAATCTGTCCTGGGAAGAAGGCCAATTTCCAAGTAAGAACTGCTGCTACAAGAATGTGAAATTTTTAAAGCGAAGGCAGTTCCAATAAGCTAGAGCTCACAACTGTTTGCCTCCAACTGCACTTACCAGGGGCTCCACTTGGTTTCATTTCTCAAGTCCTGTGTTGGTTTTGTTTTGTTTTTTAAAGTCATGCCCATGCCCAGATGTACTTTGGAGCCTAGCAGAAAACAAATGTCTAGATCCATAATATTAAATGTAAGCTGAAGCACACACACACAAAAAATCTTACGTATCACCCACACTCAAATCCTTATCTAAAACGCGTGGCACAAAGCTTTGAAAAGCAGTGATGAATTTCCCGAGTGGTGCTTTGTGTGCAAACGCTTCCAAATCAAGCTCTACATGTTGAAATTTACTCTTGGGAAGATGTCAATCTCTCTCCCACTCTCTTTCAGCCTAGGAAAAAGAATTTTCAGGCAACAGTCTGGGACGATCAGACTGTCTCCCCATCCCTTCCAAAGAGAACAAAATCCAAGGCGAAGGCACCTAGCGCCACTCATTCCTAAATACACACACATATATGCAAAAAGAAATGTTAAAGACACTCATCCCACCGCTCCTCTTCCCTGAAAATCGAACGACGCCAAGATCTGCAACCAGCGGCCGGAACCACTAATACTAACAGCCAGGCCGCCCACCCACCCCACCCCACCCCACCCCGTCCGCCCTCCACGCGCCGACCGGCGGCGGCGGGCACAGGGCGCATGGTAGCGCCGCTTCCAGCCTGGCACCCGGTCCACGCGGCCCCCCGCAGCGGCCCGGGAGAACCAGGCGAACCGGGGAGGTCGGCGGCTCCAGGCGGGCAGCGGCGCCGCTCCGGCCGCCTCCTGGGGCGCGGCGCTGCCCCACACCCCGCCGCCGCCCGCACCTGAGGCGGCTGCCCGCAGCCGGCGAGAGGGCAGCGCGGAGCGGACGGGCAAAGTTACTCACCGGGAAACCGCGGCTGCCCGGGGCGCACACCGCGCACCGTACCGCAGCCCAGGGCCGGCTCCCGCTCTCCGGGACTCGCGGAGGGAGAGCCCAGAGCCAGCCCGGAGGCTCCGCTCTGCCGGGACTCGCCGCCGCCGCCGCCGCCGCCGCCGCGGATTTCCTGGCAAGAAGCAAACTCTGGCCAAGACTTCACTTCTCAACCGCCCCTGCTGCCTTCCCGGGGGCGAGCGCCGGAGCCAAGGGGCCCAACCCGACACGCACCTGGACCAATAGACAGCGACGTAGGGCGGGACAGAGGCGGCTTCGCCTATCTGAGCGCTCAGGGGGCGGGCCGTCACTCCCGAGTTAGAGTGAGCCGACTCCGCCCCTCGCCCCTGCCCTCCCCCACCGCTCTGGGCTGTCCCCGCCGCTCGCCTGATTTCCTTTAGCTGAAGAAGCTCCAGAAGTGTCTACGCACAGCCGCGACCGCCGCGGGGAGGGTGGAACAGCTGTGTGGAGAGGGATGAAGGGGGTTGTGTGTGTGAGGTGGGGGGGGGGAGACAGCTACAGGAGCCTGGGGGTAGAGTAGGGGAGAACAGGTGGCGTAGGAAAGCAGAAATGTAGGTGTGTTGGGAGAGATGACAGCTGGAGTAGGACAGGGACGGGCTGGCCGGGGGTCAAGAAGGGCGGGGAAGGAGGATAGGCTGATCACCGGGGATGAGCACTTGCAGGGATGGAGAGGGCAGGTCCTGAGGAGGTCGCCGAGCGCGGCGGGTGGGGAAAGGTGGCCGCGGGGCTGAGGCACCCGCAGGAAAAGGTGAGAGGGAGGTCCCGCTGGTGCAGATTCGAGGAGCCCACCGCGAGGAGGACGTGCTCCAGGAATGGGAAGGTTCAGAGCAGGGACAGAAGGCAATGGGGAGAGATGGGTGTGCTTTCCTCCCAAACTCTTGCTCTGTTCCCCGAAGCTGCCGTTCGGCCCAGTAGAGAGGTCCAGCTTCAGGAATCTCAGTGAAATCAATACCACCTGAAAACAGCCTTGTTAGTTAATGCAACTTCTCGCAAATAACCCTCTCCTTTAGCAAGGTGTATGGCTCAACTATAACCTGAGGCTGGTGTCCCACGAATGACAGGTTCCTTAAAAGACTCGGATCCTAGGAAGTGCCAATCTGAGGGTACTACCGTTCCCCAGGGCTCCAGCAAGCAAGTCAGAAACAGGCCCGACTCCAAATTTAAGGAGGAAGGTGATTTGGGAAGCGGCAGGTGAGGCTCCGCCCCTTTCGCTACCACCTGAGAAAGGTACGGGAGACTTGAGTCCCCAAGCCTATACAAGCCAGAAAGTCTGCGCCCCGGATGGGGGCGGTGGGGGATGTGGGGCGGTGTAGGGAGTGGAGCTGGACCCCGGATCCTCCGCGCCCACATTGGGTCTGGCTGGCTGCCCCCCGCCGCGCCGCGCGCGCGCGTGCCTTCTTTCGCGCCGGGGGCGGAGCTTAGGGCGGGGCCTCTACGCCCCGCCCCTCCGCTGGGCCCTGCCGCGCCGCTGCGGCTCCGCCCCGCTTCTTCCGTCTTCCGCTCCTTCGGTGGGTCGTTCATCCTTCCTGCTTCTCCCGCACGTTTGGTGTTATGGGACTGAGCCTCCTTTCCTTTCGTACCACCTGAGGATCCAGGAAATCGTCCCCGCGATGGAAGAGGACCAGGAGCTGGAGAGGTAACGGCCAAAGAGGCAGATGGAAGCGGAGCGGGGCGGTGAGGGGGGGGGGGAGGAGAGGAGTCGCGCCGGGTGACCGCGCGGAGGGGCACGCGGCCTGGCTCGGCCTGGCTGGAAGGCCTGCTCGCGTAGGCGTTGAGAAGGGGGGGAGGGGAGGGGCGTGGCTGAATGGGGAAAAGCAGGGGGTAGATAGGGATGAGTATACCGAGAGATATTCCCCAGGGCCCTTTAGTTATGGGGGGGGGGAATACAAACTGAGCCGCCAGAGTTAGGTCCCAAGCTGCCCAACCCCATTAGAACTGCCTGGTGTAAAGTCCCACTCCGTGCCAGGGACACCTTGGCCTGTTGAGTTTAGCCTTAGTCTCTTTAACTACCGCTTATGGTCCTGTTTTATACAGCTGGCTGTAAAGCTGCTCTTCGCTGAGTTATTTTTCTCCCTCTTGCTAGACTCTGGTTCACATCTTCCACGTTCTCGCAGTGTCCTTACCTCTTGCAAATGAAAACAGTAGTTGATGATCTCTAGTTTCTGTTTTCGTACTAAAGTCCTCTGTGTTCTTCTATGCCTAGCCACTAACTCCCCCTTCACCTTCCAGCAGGGCCCACCCTTTTCTAATCCGTTCTCGTGACTCTACTAAAATAATAGTTTTGTAAATACTTAAGGTTTTCTGAGAAGATTCCCCTGTGGCCAGTGTGGGTAGTCTAACGGATTAGGGAGGAATTGGAGGTGGTTAAGTTTTTAATGGGTAGAGGCAGGAAACTGAGAGGCTTATCTAATTGAAATGGATTAGAGTAATGTGTCCCAATTACGATTTAATAGATGAAAAAAAAAGATAGCTACAATATCGAGTATTATCTCATTTTTATAAAAACTATGTGTGTAGAAAAATGTCTGGATTGAAGACCTCAATGGCTGAAGGCGAGAGGAAGACAGCCCTGGAAATGGTCCAGGCAGCTGGATCAGATAGACACTGTGTGACATTTGTATTGCACGAGGAAGACCATACCTTAGGAAATTCTCTACGTTATATGATCATGAAGAACCCAGAAGTGGAATTTTGTGGTTATACTACAACCCATCCTTCAGAGAGCAAAATTAATTTGCGCATTCAGACTCGAGGTGCTCTGCCAGCTGTTGAGCCATTTCAGAAAGGCTTGAATGAGCTCATGAATGTCTGCCAGCATGTACTTGACAAGTTTGAGGCCAGCATAAAGGACTATAAGAATCAAAAGGCAAGCAAAAATGAATCCACATTCTAGTCCCTTTTGCAGAATACAAGGGGGACTATCCTCATGGTCATGCAGAACCCAGAATTAGAAGTTTATGATTGCAGCATGCTCTAGCCTTCAGAAAGATGTGATTCTATAGCTGTTGCGCAATTGAAGCTGTTGGAATCTCTGCAAGAACCTGTGTATTCACCTAATAAATTCCCTCTTTTCTTTAAAGTAGTTTGAGTGGTTTCTATTCCTTGCAACCAATGATCCTCAAAGATTATTGGTTCCCCCCTTCTTAATTGAGCCAATATTGAAATGAGGAAACTGAGAAAAGAGCCAATAAAAGTGATCATGGGAAGTAAAAGTAATCATTCCTGTCTGTTGGGCTGGTGGTAAAAGGGGAAGTATAGTTGAATAGACTAGTTTGTTTTAAAAACAGGGAAAGAAGGTTGGAATGAGGACTTGTCTTGATAGACATCATTTTTAGTAATGAGAATTATGTCCATTGCTATGATTGGTTGGTTGGGCACAGATGAAATAATTTGAGAGACTTTTGAAAATTCTGGTTTTGTGTCAGAGTTTTAGATGGTGTCAAGCTCCATCTTTGTGGCATTTATAGGCTAGATATCAAGTTAATGGTTGAATTCAGGACACTAATGAAATATTTAGTCATTAACAGAATAAGCCAAAATATTTTGATTTTTTTGATGGAGAATATTGGGGTAGCCAAGTAACATTTTCAGTTAGTAGATACATGTCTTTAGTATAGCCTAGGGTTACAGAGAAGCCACATTATTTGAAAGTAAGGACAAGAAGGAAAATAATTTGTGGGAGAAACATTCATGAATCACATCAAAGAGCCATTTGTTCTACCTTTCTTCAACCTTGTTTCATAACTATCCTATCACCCTAAATATTTGTTAAACCTTAAGCCCAAGCACACCCTCCCCCCCCCCCTTCTGTGCTTTGAGCCTTGATGCACTTCCTCTTCTTGGAGCATTTTACTGTTAGGTAAATTAAATAGGTAGATTTGATTAAGTAGCCAATAAAGAGAACACCACGTGGTAATCAGGCAGGAAGAGAAGTTTATTGTATTACAGAACTGCTGCCCCACCATGCATGGTGCAGAAGTACAAGGCCAAAGGAGGAACTAAGGTCCTGCCTGGGTTTAAGTAGGGAAGGGGGAAGGGAGATGGATGTGGATGTGACCTCAGGGCTCTGGACCCTCCCTCAGTCTGATGGAGGTATGACAGGGGGCAGCCCAGGGTGTGACCAAGGATGGGGAGGTGCCTGCCTTCAGGTGTGGCAGTTACCCAGGTACTGGGTGGAGATTGTTCTGCCTTCCTGGGGCAGACCTTATATTTACTACCAAACTTAATTTCTGACTTGCCAGCCAAGTGTTGGTACTTCTATGTGATGTGATTACATTCTGTCTTTCCTAATTATGCTATTTACTGTGCTCTTGTTAGTGCTTACATTGTCTATCGCTATACTGATGTGGTTCTGGTACCTATAAATAACAGTATTTGACAATATTAGGCACTTAGTAAATACTAAATGAACCTATGTAGGTAGGTAAGGCATTTAGCCTTGCAGTCACTGAGATTTGGCCTCTTATTCTGTGTAAAGCCTACTTTATCCATGTTCTATCCACCTACTTTAAAAAAAAAATTGAGGCCAGCCACAGCAGTTCATGCCTGTAAGCCAGGCTAACCTAGCAAAAAGGTAAGCCGTACTATTTCAGTTGTGATCCCAGTATGTAGCTAAGTAGGATTGTGGCCTGAGGATGACCAAGAGCAAAAACTTAAGACACTAACTGAAAAATAAATGAGAGATCTAGGACTGTGACTCAACTGGTAAAACATCTGCCCAACAAAGAGTTCCTGAGTCTAAACCCTAATACCATCAAAAAGAAAAAACAAAGTATTTCTGTGTTATTGAGTCTTTAATTTGTACAAGACCTTGAGGATAGGTATTGTAGTGGGTAAAGACCATCAGTCCTGTCCTTAGAGATAATACATTATAGGAAGTACATGTTTCAAGATAGAATCTATTTTGGGCACAAAAGTTAGGGAAGATCTTCCTAGTATTAAAGGAAAAGAAGGACCTGGCTGTGTGGTGTGAACAGAAAATGCATGCTGGAGGATAGGTATGCACAAAGGTCCTAAATAAACTCATATTTTGAGGAACTGAAGATGGGATAGAACTGCTTAGCGTACTAAGCAAAGAGAACTCTCAGGTTCATGCAACACACTTTGAGAGAATTGAATAGAGAAAACAGGGCAGGGGAGATAGGATAACCAAGAGTCTCATGTGTAGAAAGAATGGTTGCATGAAGTCTGTGGGGAAGGATGAATCGGTCTAAGAAAGGGGAAGGGAGATGAGCATGAATCATACTTACAAAACAAAAAAGTCACTTGGTCACTATCTGATTTGCTCTATAATAAATTTGATTTGCTCAAAATAAATGATTCAAAATCAGAAATTCTGTTTAGCTTTAAAAGTACCTTTAAAGAGCCAATCATTAAAGAATATGATTATATACCAAAGGCTTTTAATGCACAGTAATTCTGAGTACTTACCTAGCACTTTCCATTTTCAAAGCACTTTATAAACTAGTTATTTATAAATTGCAGATAGCCATACCATCTAAGTGCTCTTAATTAATTGGCATAAAACAAGTTCATGAAAAAAAACTGTAGAGATGAACAGATATCTGCATAAGAAATGGTCTGTACAAGCCAGGCGCGGGTGTCTCACACCTGTAATCCTAGCTACTCAGTAGGCCAAGATCTGAGGATCGTGGTTCAAAGCCAGCCGGGCAGAAAAGTCCGTGAGACTATTGTCTCCAATAAACCACTAGAAAACCGGAAGTAGTGCTGTGGCTCCAGCCGTAGAGCACTGGCCTTGAGCTGAAGAGTGCAGGGACAGCACCCAAGCCCAGAGTTCAAGCCCCATGACCGACCAAAAGAAAAGTTATCTGTGCAGTACTGATCTGAAGTATCTTACCTTCTAAGAATACGAAATCATTTCAGGTTCCATGGCCCACAATTTCCCACCCTTATTTTCATTTCCCTTAAACATGTTAATAAGATAATCTTCAGACCACTAATTAAAAGGATCTTTTTGGTTAAGATCATTTTAGACAGGTCTTTATCACATCCTTCACATCCCAGGGTATTTTACTCAAACCTACCAGTCTCTTTTCAAAGATGTATTCTAAATCTTAGCTCTTTGCTGTTCAGATTGGTTTTCTAGTGGTTAAGTGGAGATAAGAGTCTCACGGACTTTTCTGCCAGGCTGGCTTTGAACCATGATCCTGATATCTCTGCCTACTCAGTAGCTAGGATTACAGGTGTGAGCCACCGGTGCCGGCCAGATTTTTTTTTTTTTAAGATGAAATTAGAAGCTAGGCACTGATGGCTCATGACTGTAATTCTAGCTACTCAAGAGGCTGAGATCTGAGGATCACATTTGAAGCCAGCCTGAATAGGAAAGTCAGTAAGACTCTTCTCTCCACTAAACTACTGGAAAAAGCTGGAAGTGGAGCTGTGGTTCAAGTGGTAGAGCACTAGCCTTGAGCAAGAAGGTCAAGGACAGAGCCCTGGCCATGGTTCAAGCCCCAGTATTGGCACACATACACACAAAAAAGTTATTCAGCAATGAAAATTTTGAGTGAAAAGAATAAATTTGGTAGTTCTAAAGTGTGTATGTGGAACTTAGTACCTAACTTTATATTACTGTAATTACTTTTATGTATTTATAAGTCAGGTAATGAGTAGTTTTTTTTTTTGAACAGTGTTACCCACTGCCTCATTTTCTCCCACTTTTTCCCCTCCTGACTCCCTTCACCCCTACGTTGTAAAGTTCATTTCCAACATAGTGTCTAGTGAGTACCACTGTTGCATTGGTTCACCCTTTGTCCCACTGTTTCTGTGATTCCTTTTCCCTTCCCCAAATCAGATAACTTATATAAAAACAAAAGGTACAGAAATCAAAAACAGTGGCATTAGGGAATAAAAGGGAAAAAAGAAAGAAAAAGGAAATAACTGCAAACAGTACAATTTAAAAAAAAAACACCTTTGTTTCCATTTCTTGGAGTTCATTTAGATAAACATTTTATATGGTCATATGCACATAGCTATTGAGCTATTGTAGCCCTCTTCTAAGAATATCCTAGATATATTCTAGTTATTACAAATGAGGAAACCATGGAGCCTGTATTTCTTTGGGTCTGGCTTAATATGATTTTTTCCATGTCTTACCATTTCCTTATGAATGGGGCAGTGTCATTTTTTCTAATGGAAACATAGAATTCCATTGTGTATATATACAACATGTTCTTGATCCATTCATTCACTGAAGGGGGCATCTGGGTTGATTCCATATTTTAGGTATTGCAAATAATGCTGCAATTACATGGCTCTGGGTTTTTTGTTATTTTAGGATTTTTTTTTACTTAAAATTGTGCTTTTGTGGTATTGGATTTGCTTTTGGAGTTACTTTTTTAATGGAGCCTTTTCTTTCTTGCTACGTTCATTAGTGCTGTTATTATTGTAGTATTACTCATTATGTTCGAACAGATTGATTGGTTTATAAATATTCTTAGGTAAAAACTTTGAACAAATAAATCCTTAGTTGTTTCTGTGGATTTTAGCTCTATTTAGCTTAATGGAGCATTATAATATACATTTGAGAGCCCCTATGTGGTAGAGTCCCAACGTGTTAAAGCTTTTAAGGAAAAAAAAACTTGAAATAATATTCCTATTAATAAATAAAAATCAGAGATAATTGGACTGGCTTTCTGCTCTTTTCAAAAGGAAATTAAAATTCTGCTGGAACATTCATAATCTTCCCAAAGCATCAAGATAAGGAAGGAAAAGCAAGTTCTGTAGCAGATGGCTACCTGGTGCGGTGCCAGGTATGTGGAATGTTGAGAGGGAAGTCAGGACTCAATCTAGGTCACTGAGCATGAAACTACATAAAACAGACTATATTGATATTTTTTCTAATAATTCCCATTCCTCAAAAACTCCCTATTTGTTACAAATATGTCTAAAGCTACCAGGATGTCTGTCTGTTTTACTCTTTGACTTGTGTCAGACCTAGAAACAAAACAAAACGAGGTAATATTTCAACAATTATATTAAAAAGGACTAGATGAGAAAACCAAACAGTCTAGATCATCTACTGAGGCAGAGGCTAGATTTGTTGCCTTAAACAGTGCTTTATAC